AAAAAAACCCTCAAATGTATAATGCCAGTTTACAAAAATGTTTTTCTTCTCTTCTCTCTTGCCTTCCTATTAGTGATTCTGGGAATTTCCAGATTAGTTCTGTGGTTTTCCTTCTCCCCTTACCCAGGTCACTGTGGTAAGAAGGGGCACTCACTAAGGTCAGCCATAACCAGGGGCGGGGACACACTCCTGTAATCCCAAGAAACTCAAGAGAAGAGGCAGATCACAAGTTCAAAGTCAGCCTGGGGAACTTATCAAGACCCTGTTTCAAAATGAATGTTAGAAAGGACCGGGGCTGTGGCTCAGTGGTAAAGCACTTGCTTAGCCAGAGTGAAGCCCTGGGTTCAATCCCTGGTACTGTAAGGAAAAAATGTCGGCCATGCCCCTCTGGTGGGCATTCCCAACGCTGAGATAGGAGTCAGGACAAGCAAGGGCGTGAGCCTGGATACCCGGGTGGGAGGCTGCAGCCCCACCACAGTCTCGTGCAGATGATGACCATTGCGGTGGGCGTGGCTGATACAGTGCACCCATGGAGAGACCAGGCCCTCACCATCCTAACCCAGCCATCAATTCTAGTGTCCCTAAGGGTGAGACAACCAGAAGTAAAGTACCTCCCAACGTGATACCAGATGAAATATAGGTACAAAATGCTATAAAGTATTCTTTCCAAAATGTCAAGCCTTAATCTATCCCCTCATTACAGGGGATATAAGGGTGGGTTAAATGACACCACAAGGAAACAATGAGATAAAGACGAAGGAGGGACATTAGGAAGGACAGAATTCTAGTCTCTTCAAAAGCCAATGTTATGATTTTTTTTAAGGCAATGTTGATACCTTAAAAAAATAAAAAGAAGGAAGATTTTTCCATATTAAAAGATATTTAAGAGACATCAGAGTCAAATGTGACATTTAATTTGATTCAGGCTTAAGCAAATGAGCTATAAAAGACATTTGTTGGAGAGAATTGGGGAAATTTGAATATGGCTGGGTACTAGATGATGTTGGAGAATTCCTAATTTTGTCAAGGATAATGATGGCATGGTTATGTAGTAGGTGTCCTTATTTCTCAGAGGTGTGTATTGAAATATTTAGGAGTAAATTGTCATGGTCTCTATAACTTGGTTTAAAACATTTCCCCTGAAAATAAAAATGACACGAATACAGCAAAAGGAGAATAGTTACTAGGTGAGGTGAAGGGTCGGTGGGTGATTGTTCTTCAGAATCTACTTTTCAGTCACAACAAGAAAACTTAAAAGGAGGAGATGACGCGTGTGGATTGTTTATCAGAATGCCTGGCACACAGTCAAGGCTTGTTAATATTGGCTTTTATCATTATGGTTGTTTTTATTATTTCCAAGCTGTCATCCCTGCTACTGATGCCCGCTGGCATTACCATGAAGGCTGCTGCCACCCACAGTCCAGAGCAGAGATGATCAATGTGGGGGTATCGTCTCCAGTTCCTGCCCAGCCTGGAGAAGCCAGTACTGCTAGGGCCTGTACCCTCCATGATGTGGGTTTTTTCCTATCTTCTCTTTTAGTTGTTTTTTGTTGTTGTTGGTGGTGGTGTTGTTGTTGTTGGTGTTGGTGTTGTTGTTATTGCTTTAAACGCAGCCTCTTCCACAGGGACCAGAGCTGAGTGGCAAGCAATGTGGTCAATGCAAAAACCAGCTGCTCAGCACCGGCCAGAAAGCTGTGCTACAGGGGGGTGAGGGCTCCTGACCCTGGCTTCATGCTCCCACAGGAAGGAGCAGCAAGTGACAGGTCCCTCTGGAAACTTTTTGCCTCCTCGCCCGCCTTTCCTGTAGAAAGAGGATTACTTATGGGCAAATTTGGGAGCAAGCGCCAGACATAGGCAGCCGGGGCCCTGCCAAGGCAGGACAGGACCTCTGGGTCTGTTGTCACATGCCAACACCTAATGGCAAATGTTCTGTCCCGACAGCCAGGGCCTTGGCTCTGCCTGTGACAGGCAGGTCAATTTGTCTGATTCTGAGGTTCAAAGTGGAAGTCCACTCTCTCACATGTTTTCCAGTTTTGCAATAAAATAACACTTTCCCCTCCATCTCCCCCCCCTCTTTCCTGCTTATCATTTGGTTTAGAACTTAGACAAGGGTTGGATAAGAAGACATTATCTTTTAATTTCCTCAAACCCTAATATCTAAGCCTGGTTTTTTTATTGAGATGAACTCTTCCTCGGGTCTTCCGTACAAACCGACACACGCTCTGCCCCGTGAGTCATCCAGAAACGATTGAGATGTGCCTGCATTTTAGTGAAACACAGTTGATTTGAGATTTCCGCTCTGCGTGTTTTAAAAAAGCTTAGTAAACTGTCTGTTGCTAGATATCAAGTTTATAGAACTGGGCAAACAGGTCTTCTGTGAGTCTGACAGTCAAGAAATTCTCAGGTTGGAGAACACTCTGAGCGAAGCCAAGTGAAGGGTGAAATTGCCACCAGGTCTCCTGGGCATCTAGTCCTTCAGCTTAATAAGAGGGAGAACAAAGCCTTCTGGGCCGCAAGTGTGGAGTTAGCAGGCCCCTTAATAATTAATTTTTTGATGGTTTGGAGAAATGCTAACGTACTTCTCACTGTTGTGATATCTATATACTGGAAGAGGCCCTCTAAAGAACCTTCTTGAATTCTTCATCACTTAATAATTCCAAGTATCAGGAGAGATGTTTTCTATTACAAAATCTGTGATGCAGAACCACTGATAGGATGAATTTTCGTAAGAATGGAAAAGAGCTATACATAAGCCAAATAAACTTAAGACAGTATTATTAAATTTTTTTATAATCTTTAAGTGGGATAACATATGTACAATTATCGTTTTAACCGTTTTTCTAATAGTGGTAAAATACAACATAAACTCACCATCTTACCCATGTCTAAGGGTACAGTTCGAGGGAATTAAGCATAGTCACATTAGTGTACAACCACCAGCTAACCACAGAGGACTTTTCATCTCACGAAATGGAAACTCCATTCCCAGCTAGACAACAATTCCTTATCCCCCCTCCCAGTACCTAACACCACCCCACTTTTTGTCTCCATGAATTTGAGCACTCTAGGTACTTCATAAAATTGAACTCATGCAATATTTGTCTTTCAGGGCCTACAGACAATTTTACATGGCTTCCTCTATATCTTCTGCCCATGACTTATGTATGCCTTACCCTGGGCTGGCTTGCCTGATAACCTACCCAGGAATGCCACCAAAACATTAGTCAGGCTGTTTTACATTCAGAAGACCACATCTTTCTCCTTGACTTTTTTATCTAGAAATCACCATGCTAAATAAAGCCTGTGCATCAGAGCCTGCTCTGTTTGCTTGAAGTTAAAAATCACAAGGTCAGAACACTTCCAAATTCTCTTGGCACAAAGAGCCCTCGGCCCTACCTCACCTGTACACCACCCTCTGAAAACATCAGACACCAAAAATAAGGGACAGAAGCTAGACTTTCTACCGTTTTTCTCAATTCTCAATTCATCTCGTTCCTGCCAACAAATATATCAAATCCAAAATATCTGAGTCTTGCTTAAGTCAAGTGTTATTTCTTCTACATAATTAGTTTGCTTTATCAAAAAAAAATAACAAATAAATAAAAATCTTGGTTCGAGGTCCCAGAAGAAAGAAAGATTTTTTTTTTTTTTTGCCTTGGATGGTCATAATTATTATGAAAAGTGACTTTGAGAATAAGAAGTCAAAACCAATTTGAACTGAAATAACATATGCAGACTTTCATGAACTGACCATTAGCAATAGTGTTCAGGAACCAATAATGTTCAGGTTAATGTTTCTCAAACTGAAACTGCTGTATATGAAATGTGGTAATTAATTCTGGGACATGGCACTATTTTTTCTTTTTTCTCATTTTGAGAAGAATCTGTGTTTCTGATTCTTCATACACATAGTCCAGGCAACAATTTTCAAAGTTCTTTGAGTAGTTGTTAGATTAAGGAATTAAGCAATTAAAACATACGACATGTCTCCGCCCATATTGCTGACTGGATGATTTATAAAGAACAGACATGCATTGGCTCTTGGCTCTGGAGGATGGGAAGTCCAAGATACAGGGGCCAGGTGCTGACAAGGACCTTCTTGCTGCGTCATGCATGGCAGAAAGCAGATGGCAGAGGTCAAGAGAGCAGGGGAAGGTGACTTCTTCTTAATGTCACCAATCCTACTATGACCTCATCACCTTTTTAAAGCTTCCACCGCTTAGTAATATTATGTAGCAATTACATTCCAAACAGTTTTGGAAGGGGCAAACATCCAAGCCACAGCAAGACTCGACTTCATACAAGCATCATGATCCTAGAATGGACGTCTCTACACGCCAATGTGTCAGAGCACCTGAGCATGCCCCGAACAGAGTCTCAGATGGTAAGGAGAGAGTCTTAAAGACCTACTACAGAAAACTAAACTTAGCTCCAACTAGTTTAACTCGATTGGTTAAGGTCATATTATCAGAACAAAAATTCAAATCTCTTAAATCTTATTTCAATGCTATTTTCATTTACACCAAAGAAAATGAAAAAATACCTAAATGGCGAGATCAGAAATTGATCTTCATTTGGAATTCAACTCCTAAGAGGTTTCCAGAATCATCTTGCCCCAGTCAAACTTCTCCAAGACAAGAGATGCTTCTGAACAGGGAGAACATGGGCTTGGTAGATTAAATAAACTGGCTCATGAATAGGTTGGGTTGGCCATGTTCTGGGTGTTGAATACCTGTGACCTTCATCAGACAGACCACCAATGTCAGGAAGGTATTATTTAAATTATACCTGGGCAAATTTTACGTTATAAGGCAAGTGACTTCAGACCAAGTTCCTCAAGTAAATTCTAGGAAGAATTTGAAAGATGAGCAGATTCCCAGCGCCTGAATATGTAGACAAGATAATACAAGGAGGTATTTGTGGATTCACCAAGAACCAAGATGTCTTTGGGGACAAGTAGATCCTAAGTATAAAAAGCAGTCGCCTGAGGTAAAACAGCATCAACCTGTTAAAGATAGCTTTCAGGTTTCAGACAGCTTAAAATAAGAAATGAGGAGGAAAAACATGATATCCTGGCTGCCAAAGATTCAAATAAAGAAATCAGAGAGGAGGTTGAGGGCATATCTGAAAAAATAAGGATAATAAAATAAGTGTGCCTTAATCTAAGAGGTAATGAATGGGATAAAAGGTGAAAGACCAATCCATCCTGCGAAACTGCTGCAAAGAAACATTAAAGACTTACCAGATCAGATGGCCGTGTGGGGACACTTGGCAACCAAACGAGGCCATGATATAATTGGCGTGTAAAGAACCAGCTTGTCTCTCGCCGCCAAACAAAAAACACGTATAGAAAGGATCTGGTGGAGGCACTCAGGAGCGGATGTGGCTGTGTATTTTGGGACATCTTAAACCAAAACAAGTTGCAAAACTTTGTGGGACAGGAAATCTGGTACAATCACTGTGAACAGAAATGTCAAACTTAAACTTCCAGATCAGGGGTTGGCAGACTCCTGCCTGTGGGCCAAGTCTGGCCCACTACCTACCTCTGTATAAGCTGTCAGCTAAGAATTGTTTTCTGACTCTTTAATGACTGACAAATTAAAAGAATACACGGTACAATGGAAATCATAAAAAAATCAAATTTCAGTATTTATGAATGAAGCTTTCCTGGAACACAGTAGGACTGATTTCTATCCATACTGTCTGTAGATGCTTCTATACTACGTCAGTACTGTTCATGGCCACAACAGAGACCATGTGGCCTGCAAAGCCTAGAGTTTTATGATCTGACTCTTTATAGAAAAAGTTTGCAGCCTCTAATGTAGACTATAAAACAAAAACTGAAATACTCTAAAAAGCAGCAAAGTTACAAAGTCAACCCAAGTAGTTCCAATGAGAAACTTCAGTTATCCACCCAATAATTTGCAGACCATTTCATGGGGTGGTTTTAATTAAGACAACTACTTCTTCCTAGGAGAAGTCACTTTAGAAATTTCAAAGAAAGGGGTCTCTGATCCATAGCTCCATGAGATAGGTATGAACTCGATAGGAAGTGCCTGTGGGAACTCTATGTAAGAGCGATTCCAAACTGACTGAGCCGGCCCACAAAAAAATCAATGATCAGAGACCCAACTTTGGGAAAAGACACAAATGGAGAAATTTTACATCATTAAGAAAAATAAGAAAGTTGAAATAACAATCCAAAGAAAATTTTTAAATCCCTTTTAAAACTTCAAAAATTCCTTTAAAAATGTTTTGGGAGACCAGGAAACATGTAAGGCATGGAGGAGGAGACAAGGAATTTCTCCAACATTATGGAGGACATTTTATATGCTTTATCAGTGAAGTTTTAAAAGAAGAGGTGTTAAAATAAAAACAAAACTGCCCAAGTGGAAGAAAAATAGAAGGAATGTCATCCCTAGAAGAACAGACCCAAGTTAAAATAAATAAATAAATAAACAAAAGCTAAAACAGGATAGTTGGGCATTTCTGAGGAACAGACCTCAGTGGTAAAACCTTTGCCAGAACCATGGGAGGCAGAAAGGCAGCCAGGGGATCTATGAGACCAATCAATTGATGACCATGATAGAAAGGTCCACACAGGTGTAAAAGGGAGACAGCAAAAAATGAAAAGAAAGCATTGGTCAAATTCTCACATTCTCACTAAACTAACTTTTGAATTAGACCTATCCCAGGTACAAGGTTGAATAGCAATAACAAACTAGATGTTCCTGACTGAATCAGGAATGAATTCTGTCACAATTTTCTTTCCCAAAATTGAGCAATTGCTAGAAATAGATGGGCTCCACCTCAGAGTTTAGAAGAAAGTCAAGGGTGAAATTTTGGATTTCTCAAAATACATGTAGACAGATCAATTTAACAGAGGACTGGCAGGCTGTTAAAGGGACAGGCATTCCTGAGTAAGGACCAAGGATATGATTCCCTGTCCATTTAACAATAAGATAATGCACCTTTAAGAACGGTAAGGTAGTTTCTGAAAGAGAGATATAGCTCTCTAAATTTTTTTTTTTTGAGGAGGGAAGTACTGAGGATTGAACCCAGAGGCACTTTATGACTGTGCTACATCCCTAGCCTTTTTATTTTTTATTTTTTTATTTTTAAGATAGAGTTACTAAGTTGAGGGCCTCACTAAATTGCTGAGGCTGGTCTCAAATTTATGATTCTGCTGCTCAGCCTCCCAACTTGCTAGAATAACAGGCATGCACTAGCATGATCATCCCTCCCTAACATTTTTAAGGAAGCATGTGGAAAAGGAAAAGTCAGTGGTCATCCACTATTTAAATACTCCCAAAGACAATGATAAGATTCCATGGGGAAGAAAACTATAGACCAATATCCCTGATGAACTTACATGCAAAACTACTTAATAAAATGCTAGCAAATCATGTTCAACAACATTTATTAAGAATATGATACACCAAAACAAAGGTGGTTTTATTGAAGACATGCAAAAATGGTTTACTATATACAAATCAATAAATGTAAGTTATCACATTAACAGAATTAGGGACAAAAATCTCTTAGCTATCTCACTAGAAGCAGAAAGACCTTTGATAAAATTCAGCACCATTCATGATCAAAAAAAAAAAAAAACTAGGGATAGAAGAAAACTATCTCAACATCATAAAGACTATGAGAAACCCAAAGTCAATCTCCTAGTAAGAGGGAAAAAGCTGTAAGTACTTCCTTTAAAATCTGGACAAGACAAGGCTGTCCACTCTCATCATTAATATAGTGCTAGAAATTCTAGCCAGAGCAATAGGCAAGAGAAGAAAATAAAAGGGATAAAAATAGGGAAGAAAGAAGTCAAATTATAACTCTTTGAAGATGATATAATCCTCTACCTAGAAGATCCATAAAATCCACTAAAAGATGGGTAGAGCTAATAAAAAAATTTGGCAAAGTAACAGGTTACAAAATTAACATTCAAGAATCAATAGCTTTCCTATATATTGACAATGAATCTTGTAAGAAAGAAAATATGTCAAACACAACAGCCTCAAGAAAAAAAAACTAGAAATAAATCTAACTGAATTAGGTTTTAAAAAAATACTACAGTAATAAGTAAAGAATATTGAAATAAAAGATTAAAGACCTCCGAAGATGGAAAGACCATGCTCATGGATAGGCAGAATTACTATTTTAAAATGGCCACACTATCAAAAGCAATTTAAAGATTTAATGCAATCCTCATCAAAATACTAATGACATTTTTCACAGGACTAGAAAACAGTCCTAAAATTCATTGGGAAAAAAATTTAAAAGACCCAGAATAGTCAAAGTAATTTTAAGCCAAAAAGCAATGCTGAAGGTATCAGAATACCTGATTTCAAATTATAAAGAGCTATGGTAAAAACAAACAAACAAAAAACCTGCATTGTACTACCATAGAATAAACACATAGACCAATGGTACAGAATAGAAGACACAGAGACAAACCCATCCATCTAAGTTACCTGATCCTTGACAAAGGTGCCAAAACACACATTGGAAAAAAGGCAGGCTTTTTAACAGATGAGGCTGGGACAACTGGCTATCCACATGAAGAAGAGTGAAACAGAACCTCATCTCTCACCTTGCACAAAATCAACTCAAAATGGATCAAAGACCTCAGAATTAGACCAGAAACTGTGCAACACCTAGAAGAAAACATGGGGTCAACACTCCAGCTTTTAGGCATTAGTAATAATTCTCTGAGGAAGCACCCCTAAGCTCAGGAAATAATGCCAAGAGTTAATAAATGGGACAGCATCAAATTTAAAAGCTTCTGTGTGGCAAAGGAAACAGTTAGGAATATGAAGAGAGAACCCACAGAATGGGAGAAAATCATTCCTAGCTATTTTTCTGACAAAGGATTAATATCTAGAACATAAAAATGCTTAAAACACTTTACACCAAATTATCAAATAGCCCAATTAATAAATGGGCAAATGAATTAATAAGTAGCCCCTCTTGAGAAATCCAAATGACCACTGAATACATGAAAAAAATGTTCAACATCATTAGCTATTAGGGAAATGTAAATGAAAACTTCACTGATATTTTGTTGAGGGCCACAGCTGAGTCAGGATGACGCCTGGCATTTTTGCCAGAAGTAGTGGTTGAGAGGTGACGCCAGTGAGCCATTAAGATGATGACTTTTGAGTTCTCTCGGATTTCCCATTGAGCCGGGATTCCTGAAGAGTTCCCATTGGTTGGGGAAGTGCCGGAGGAGGGATTTTCTGGTTGGTGGTTCCAGGAAGAGCCGCATGGCATTCCGGAGAGTTCCCGGGAGCGTGTATGGAGTGTGCTGGTGGAGTTCAGAAATAGAGTTTGTTCCTGCTTCAGTGGCTCATGATTTGTGCCCAGCAATACTGCAGCAAGATTTCATCTCACACCAGTCAGAATGGTAGTCATCAAGAATACAAATAATCATAAATGCTAGAGAGGATGGGGAGAAAAAGGAACACTTTTACACTATTAGTGGAACTGCAAATGAGTATTTTGTCTTTGGAAATCAGCATGGAGGCTCCCCAAAAGACTAGGCATAGAACCACCATATGACCCAGCTATTCCAAATCTCAGCATGTACGCTGAAGAATTAAAGTCATCTTGCAACAATGAGACATTCATACCCATGTTTATAGCAGCACAATTCACAATAGCCAAACTACGGAACCAGCCTATGCGTCCATCAACAGATTAATGGAAATGTGGTATATATACACAAGGGAGTTTTATTGAGCCATAAAGAAAAATGAGATTATGGAATTTGCAGGAAAATAAGTGAAACTAGAGGCCATTATGTTAAGCAAAATAAGCCAAACTCAGAAGGTTAAGGGTTCTATGTTTTCTGTCATATGTGGTCACTAAGGAGACAAAGGGTGGGGGTGATCTCTTGAAAATCAAAGAGACATCAGTAGATGAAAGGTACCAAGGAGTGGGAAGTGAAGGGGAAGGGGGGAAGGGCTGTGGATTGATATTGGTCAAATTGTATGGTTACATTGTGTGTATGTAGAAACATGGAACAACAAATTCCATCAATATGTATAACTATAATACAACAATAAAAATGTGGGGGAAAAAGATTACATGAGAAACTATGCCATTATGTAATACCTTCTATTACAAAAGCAATATATGTTCTGTGTAGAAATTATGGAAAATACAGAAAAGCAAAAAGAATTAAATTAAAATCATCCATAATCCAGCCAACCAAAGATATCCACTGTTAATACTTTTCCATTCATTATTTGGGACCAAACATGGAATTTAATTAACTGTTTTATTTTGGACACTGGCTCTGAAAGAGGAGAGAAGGGCGAGGAAAAATAATTTCCAAATTGTTCCAACTCACAAACGGATGCTAAGACCTAACAGGAGACTGTTTATAATAAAATCCTCAGGTTTGCACATGACACTAAGTTCTTTTTAATAATGAAATATCATCCCATTTATGCAGAGGAAGCCGTGGAAATTTCACAAGACTGCATGTGGGAGCAGAAAACTGGCAGATGATATTCCTTATAGGCAAGTGTAAGAGAATACATGCAGGGGAGTATTGGTACCATCCCAATTACCCTGGAAATGATGGATTCCCAGGTTCCAGTCAGACGCAGAACATGCGGCACGCTGTCATCGCAGATTTGTACCCTAAAGGCGTCACACTGATTCCACGTAAAGATCAAAAAATGATGTGGAAACCAACATTCTGTTCTCTGAAACAATGGTTTATGTATGGCTAGAATACTCTGCAGTTCGAGCTCTACCTTAACAAGGGCCGAGATGATTCAAAGAAACCAAAAACCTGAAGATCACTGCCTATGAGAATCAGTGCTGATAACTGGCATGCTCCCATCTATGAAATCTAAGAGTGACGGCTCATGCAAACAAGATGAAGTCCACAAAACAGTGACATTTTGAGATTGAGGAAGGTGATGCACCTTAACCAAGGGTCCATGGACTTTATAAGATTTATAAACTCCTTAAAATGGTACAGACATTTTTTCACACATATGTACTTGTGCGTGTGTGTGTGTGTGTGTGTGTGTGTGATAATCCTCATCAGTTTTGTAATGAGGTTCATTACCCTAAAATCCAAGAACCAGATGGTAGGAGAGTAGCCTTAGTCACTAATTCCTTGAGGTTTGAATGGAAAAGCCTTAGAACAAATTGAATTGTATTTATCCCATTAAAAAATGAGCACATGGAACTTCTTTCATGAGCAATATTATAGTTTAAAACAAAGCCTAAAGTGTATGGGAAGGTTTGAAGGAGGTCTCCAAGTTTCTATACCAGGTCTGTTTCCCTCCTGCCCTCCTTCCCATATCCTCTTCTCAGGTCCTTGCTTGAGTAGCTACCATTTCAAAGACACCTAGACTCTGTGGAGGTGGACATGGCATCACATCAGCAAAGAACTATGCTAATGTGGCCTTAGACAAACACGGGGGGAAAAAACCAGAAATGAAATATCAAAGCAATAAAAAAGCATATAAGAGTTTTCGAACATAAAACTTTGTACAAGTGTTCAATGGAACATTGTCAAGTTAACATTTGGAAAGTGCTTTGAAGATGAAAATTGCCAAATAAGGGCTTCAGATATTGAGCCAATATTTCATTGGCTACCACTTAGTGGCATAAGAAACAAGTCCTCTAATAGTTGAGGCAAAGATGGAGCCCAAGATGGTACATAGAGGCTCTTTTGCCCATAGAGAGTGCTTCTCCAGTGTCTCTGAGGTTACAACTGGGGAGCTTCATTTCTCCAAAGTCTCCGCTTTTGTTGGCCAATTTCCCTGAAGGCTGCTGCTAGAGGACCCTCATGGCAGGCTGCTTGGGGGGCAGTGAAGTCTTCATAAATAAGTCTGTTAGTGTCCTTCCAACCCTGATTTAAATTTTGTTAAGATGGGATTCAGGCTAGTGTTCCCTGGGTAGATGGTATTCTATTCTTCAACAATATTGAGATCTGAGCTATCTAGATTTGAATCAAGCATGACAAGAGCCCAAGCTCAGAGCACTGCTCCCTCCAAGCCAGGTGGGACAGGGACAGTCTCCCTGGGAGCAGGAGTTGGCAGGGGGGGGGGGGACTCCAAATCAGAAACCACCCAGCGCTGGTAGCCGGTGGCAAGTGAAACCACATCCTCACTGTTGATCAGTCTCCAAAAACAATGAGAGCCGCATTCTACACGGTGGTGGTGTTGCCTTGTCTTTCTGCACAGCAATGTTATTTTCACCAACATTTGTTTTCATTTATTTAAGTTTTATGATCCCAAAAAAAGAATTGAAGTAGCTTCCAGATTAAAACAAAGCACAGAGAACTGCAGCATTTGGGGATAAAATAGGACAAATAATGCATTTTTAGGCTGGCATTCATAAGATACAGTGTACTTTGGTAAAAACATACTGGAGTCAAAAAAGAAAATCCTGGGTTCCATCCCTAACTCTAACTGTGTAGTCTCCTTCAAGCTGCATTGCATGGGCAACACAGTCTCTTGAAGTGTGTGGAAGATAGTGTTCTGCATTATTATGTCGGGCAGAAGGGAGCGGGTGGTGTCATAGAGGATCCGGGTGAGAGATGGAAGGTATCTGAGGACAGTGGGATTAACAGGCTTGGAAAGAAAGGAGGGGAAGGAGTTTACACAGAAGACCCCACAGGACTTGGGATGGACTGGCTAGGAGCCAGAGCAGGGCCATTCAGTGCCGACTCTGAGGCTTTGTGATTGTGTGAGGAGAACCAGAAAAACACTCCCCGGAGAGGTTGCTAAACTAGGGCAGAGGGGCTGAGCTCCCGATTGTCACAGAGTCTGCAGTGACAGAAACGTTCAAGAGGAAGGAGGGTGTAGGCGTCTGGAATGAGCTGGACCTGAGGCAAGAAAACAAAGCCGCAGATAAAATCGCTGAAGTCATTGGGATTTCAGCAAACGAATGGATGAGGACATGCAGGAAGTGTGAGGGCACAGAGGGGACCGAGGGCTGAGTCTGAAACCAGGACCCAGGAGCCAAAAATAGCGCCGATATTGACTCAGTACCAAACATTTGTTTCTGTGACTCAAGGACCTTGTTTCTGCTCTTTGTGCTTTCTTTAATCTCATTCAAACCCTCTAAAACCTGCGGGAAAGAATGAGATCAGAGATGGGGAGCAGAGTTCCTGAGTGGGGAACATCCCGGCAAAACTGGCCGCTGCCTTCTGCTTCCACCGGATGGACCCACCTCCTTCAGCTCCTCTCCTGGCTGCAGGTGGACCTCAGGCCACCTGGGATCCCCTGACCAAAGTAGTCTGAATCCAGGGTCTCATGCAATTGAGTTTTATTTACGTTTCCCCAAACCTGACCCTGGTTTCAGCCTCCTCACTTCCCAAGGTCACCTTCTGTGCATGTCCACTGTCAGCCTTCCCTAGGAGCCTCCAGCAGGTGACCTAAGGTCTCTCTCCTGCTCTTCACAGAGAGCAGCTGCAGGCTCCATCTTCAATTGCAGGAGCCTGGTGTCCCCTCCCCCACAACGATGCTGGCTTTGCCCATCCCTGGGAGGAAAGCTGAGAGTTCTAGGGTTTTCCATCATATGGCGCTTACTACGTGCCACATAATGAAGTCCAAGCCAATGTGATGAACTAGCAAAATACTCATCAAAAAAAAAACATTTTTTGTCTTTTTTGTTGTTGTTGTCTTTCCCCTCTTATTCTCAACACCAAAGATTTCTTAGTTAAATAGAGGTAAATGGGATGTTTGAGAGAACAATTAGCTATTATGAGGTGTAGGTTGAATTATTTTTTGGTTTAGCACATACATAACATTATGCATTTTAAGTATACTGCATGTTACATAGGATGTAAAACATAGCAGCATATTGCTAATAACACATTATATATCCTTAAATAAAACTATATACAGAATGTATCATGATGAATAGAGTATGTTTCAAACATATGTCTGAGCAATTGTAAAACATGATGTCTCTCAAATCTGTATCATCTTTTCAATAACTGAGTTATAGATGATATTATCAGCATAATTTATGCCAACCCAGCTTTTCTAATGATGTTCAAAAAAATGTGGCAATAATAAGACCAAATTCAGGAACAAATGAGGTATGAAATAGCAAAAGAAGGAAGGGCCAGTCAAGGATGAGATTCTGCAGGACCCTGGCTTTCTTGAAGAACTGTCGATATATGGCATTGCTCCTTGGTAGCCCAGTGGTCCTAAAAAGATTATCCTTGCCCTTCTTCTCCGTGGCTCTCAGTTCCTTGTGAAGTGAAGCCAGTCTCAGATTGAAACAGGTGAAGCCCTTAGGGACAGCTGGAATACAGAACTGTCACAAGAAAACATTCTTCCTTCTGCACATTCAGAGGGCAACACTGTCTAGGGACAGAAGGGGTTGGGAGAAACTCCACCATAGAGGGGAAAGCCAAAGAAAGAAAAATCATGTGTCTTTGAGAAGAAAAAGAACAGAGTTGTTGAAGACTCCAACAGGAGAAGGGTTAAGGTTGGGAAAAATGAGATCACTGCATTCTCTACTGCTGAGAATTATTTGTACCACCTCTGCCTTGTACGGCCGTCCCTCATATCCACAGGGGATTGGGTCTAGGATCCCCTGCACAGTGAGAGAGTATCATGCTTTATCACTAGCCCAGGAAAAGATCAAAATTCAGAATTCAAAGTACAATTTCTGCTGGATGTATACGTAACTTTCGTACCATCATAAAGTCAAGAAATTGTTGTTGAACCGTGGAAAGTTGGGAGCATTCTGTAGGTGGGAACACTGAAGAATGCTTGGCCCAGGTCTCGATGACCATAATACGCCAGAGCTAAGTCACTATCACACTGCAGGCCATCCTTTAAGAAAGAGTCTCCATTCAACACTGCCAGGGTGTCAAAGCCATTCAGGGACAAGCCAGCGGAGATACAGCCCTAAGTGGAGGATGCAAGAAGGACTGGTGGAAAGAAGGAAGGCTACAGGGAATGCTCCATAAGACTTTAGGAACAACACAGGAAGGGTTTCAAGTTCAAAGTGTTCTGTCACGTGCAGACTTGGGTGGGGAAAACTGGTGGCATCTGGCTGGTTTTGGAGGTTGCTGGCAGCACCAAGGACAGGGGCTTAGAAGAATGCTGTTCAGTGTCAAGTTCCACAAGCTCCCTGGGGCTGCCTAGTTCCTCCACCCACTCGTGTCTTCTTCAAGGACCTCCAAGCTCATGACTGTCCCCATCTGAGCATTAGAGGCCTTGAAGCTATAGCTTCTCCAGGCAAGAATAGCAGGGTGCCAAGTCATCAATGCCGTGACATGACTACAATACATTTCTCGGAAAAGCTAGAAATATCAACAATTATGAATGCACATAAAATTTCCTAAAATTGTTTTATCCTTGTTCCAAACCCTAATTAAGTTCAGAATTTTGGTTGTAAATTTTAAAACTTTAATAGCATTCTAGGTACTTCAAACCAATGCATTCCACGAAGATGGACTCCACTGTCGGTACCTGAACAGCTCCAAGTTACAACCCAGATTTCTGCAGAGCTTCCACTCAGCCTTTTTCTTTCCTTCCATAGATTTTTTACTTTCTCTCTTCTTTTTGCAGCCATTAGAATAAGAGAAGAAGAAGAAAGGAGGAGGAGGGGGAGGAGAAGAAGAAGAAGATGATGATGATTAAGATTTTAAACCGTCACGTGGTGTTTCTCTTGAAGCATGAGCTGTGGGAGGAACCCAGGCCAAGAGGATGACAGAGTGAGGTTAGATCAAATGAGAAATGACACAGAAATGCCTGGGTGAGGGAAGGAGAGGACCTTTTGTTTTTGCTGTTTCAATCATACATGTAAACTACACCTGTAAGTAACAATACCAACAACAAGGTGAGTCAGTGTCTCTTGCATTGAAGAGATGGAACAGTTTCAGGGAGGCAAATGCTTAATCCTAAAGAAAGCCGAAGAGGAGCATGAACTAACCAAGGTTGGATTAGTATTTCCTGTTTTACAGGTGGCCCTTGCATCCTAGGTCTCAGCCTCTGGGGAAACACGACACCACTTCATATAAGAGAATTGCACATTCACAGACTTGACTGTCCATGGGGGTGGGGGGCTGGGACCACTCTCCCATGGACGGCAGGGATGATTGTATTTAACTATATATTATGATTGAGTTGAGTCTGAGTCCATTTCCCTTCGGGATGACTAAGCTCCAAGGATGCTTAGGCAGGTGTGGGGTGACTTGGGAAGAGGTGCCCAGAGTCTGGGACATGGAGCAGAGCTGCAGGGCCCTCTCCTGCTGGGGTCTCCTCCGTGGAATCTGGGGCTCAGGGTGCCACCAGCCCTCCTTTCCCTGGGCTGTTAATCTATTCCATGCTGTTTCTTCGGCAAACTCTCTCATTCCCTCCTTCTCTCACCATTTTATATAATTCCTCTTCCTTCCCTTTAATGTGTTGTAATAATAAACCAAAACATCTCTACGTCACTTAAGTGATATAAATCAGGTTTCAGATCCTCTGTTCTTAAAAAGCACAGAAACTAAGGTAGAAGAAGTTTGTCTCAAAAAAAAAATGACCTTAAGTTAGTTTATTTAATGTAATGGTAGCTTTTTTTCAATCTCAAAGACCTCTGATAGAAATTTAAACTTAAAATAGTTTGTAGTGCAGGTAGTCCCTTATTGTTACCAAAATGAATTCCTGGAAAACTTCATCACTAAATATAACATTGTAAAGCAGACTGCATTTTCCTGGAGGAATTAATTTATAATCAGGGGGTTGTTCTTGATTAAGGACTCTGAATCCAATAAACCACTGGTATGCACAATAATATGTCATAAAGGAAAAGATACAACTATAGAGTTATACAATTGTTTCAAATAGTAAAATTAGACCACAGGTAGGGGGGAAATTCCACAGAAATTTGTATTGTAAACAGGTGTTATAAAATGAGCAAGAATAGAATATTTACAATGATTATATAAGGACCCTGACCTACTATTAAACACTTGATCACTTAAAAATATAATTCTACCCTGGCATAAATTTGATTAAAAATTAAAGTTATTTATAATGAATTTTGAATATATAATTAATGATAACTTTATTTGCTGCACTTGACTTTGGAAAACTTTCTAGGAAGGTTTGGGTGAGTTAGGACTCATAAATTCATCCAGTGAACAGGGACCTTAGCAGAGAACAGTGGTTAGCCCTGGATTAAGTTCTATTTATTATTAGCTACTTAGATAAATTCACAGAGAACAGAAAATTTGGAAGGTATGCCCCACCACTTTATAATTAATAAGGATTATAAGCTGAAGAAGTGGACAGGCCCAATGGAATGGAATTCAATAAAGGTTTATGATGAAAACAACATGTAAATTAGAGAATAAAATGCATATCATTATTACATATAGATATATATATTTAAATCTATATATTTAAAAGAAATTTACGGAACACCTGACAAGCTAGGGGGGATTAAACTGTAGTTTAAGAGGTTTAAAAGTGGAAGAAGGGCTAATCACAGAGAAATGCAAGCTAAATTTACCACTCCAGGTTAAAAGCAAAGGAGATAGATATAAATAGACATAACCTAGACACATTTTGTAAGTACACCCAATAAACGTAAAACAAATAGTCAGTGAAAGCAGAAACCAGAAGATTTACAAGTTCCCAGGACCCCGCTGCTCACCCCAGCAGAGTCCACAGCACCTGCCAGGTCACTCTGTTGACAGACATTGTGTCTTCCTACTTGGTCACCTGTTCCTTTGTCTTCCAACTTTCCATCCATCTGACCCATTGCAGAAACCCCGTAAATGTTTGTTGGGAAATAGTTGAGTAGGAGTCTGAATTCCCTGGTTCTGATTCTGCTCACCCACTTATGCATTTGGATCCAGAGAGTGTCCCCCTGCAGAATCTCCTTTCTTTTGAACACAAGGATCCACATGGAGTACTCCTCCCCCATGCTGGTCTCCTGCTGGGAAAATTCTGGACTGCCAAATCACCTTCATTAGACAATATTTCTTCCTTCTTTTTCCCTTGAGACAACCGGTGTTGACACATTGAAGTGATAATTATTCTCAAGAGTTCAAAATTTACATTTTTATAATCTGCACAATTTATTGTTCATATGCATTTCCCTTTTTAAAGCTGAAAATAGATCCCACTACACACTTACATTACTATTTTCAGCTCCTGGCCTCTAGGTTGAAAGAAAATCTTGAGCGTAACTATGAGGTTTTCTCCTCCTAACACCCTTGAAATCCATATTATTTCAGGTTAGGACCTAGAAAATAAAAAGTCATATTTGTAAAAGTCTACATCCAAACATACACAATTATGAATAATTATTTGTAAAATTAGAAAAAGTGAAAACAGGGACAAAAAAAAAAAACAGGGAAGTAACTTTCTATTTAAATAGCAACCAGAAAAAAAAAATGTACTTTAAGAAAACTCTCAACAAGTATTTCCATGAAAAAAACAAAATACTAAAGAGAGATTGGTGGGTCCCCTAGTATTCCAGAAGGATCTATAAAAGTGAATGATCCTCCCTCACCAGCCAAAGAGTCAGGAATCCATGTCTCACCATTCCTGACTGGGGGAGGCCAGGCTGGAGTTGAGGTACGGGAGGGAACCTCGGGCAATGCCTCCTCTGCCAACTGATGCACAGATGGTTTTACGGTTTGTGAGGCATCCTCCAAAATCTCACGTTAGACAATGCAGCCATGTCAGAGGTGAAAGGAGGAGATCATGAGAGCTGTAGCATGATCAGGGACTAAGCACTGACGGATTAATAGTTTAAATGGATAACTCGGGTGGTAGGGGTACCTGTAAGCAGGTAGGTGTGGCTGGAGGAAGCAGGTCCTGGGGCCTACCCCGCCCTTCCACCCTGATGCGCTGCCTCATCTCAGGTCCACAATAATGAAGTTGGCTCACCGCGGACTGAACCTCTGAAACTGTGAGCCCAAAATAAGTTTTTCCTCTTCTAAGTTGTTCTTGTCCCCAGGTACTTTGGTCCCAGTGATGAGAAGTTGACTGGCCCAGATGGGTCCTCTATGGTCCCAGAGAGTGGAGAGTCAGGGGTTGGGCTCTGAGGGCCAAGGCCGCGGACCTTCTCCTGCCATCACCCCAGGCCCATGCATTTGTGGCAGGAGGGGGAGGTCTTGGGAAGCTCCTGACCCTCACTCGTCCTGGATGGCCTCCTTCGCCCCTGGAGGTCACTGCCTACTCTCCTTCAAGTTGCCAGGAAAAAATAAGGCATAAGCACTTTGAAAACTTGCTAAACTCTGCAGTCGTTTTGAGGGTTTTTAAGACAAAGGAAACATCGCTGTGTTCTGGGATGAATGGCTACCCAGCACTGCGCAAAGGCTCAGGGGTGGCTTCCAGGGCCTTCAGCCCCAGACACTCTGATACCAGGGCCGGTGGGGCAGGTGCTCAAGGCCAATGCCACCTCCCGTCCTGCTGAGGGAGGCAGGTGTGGAGGTGTGCTCTCCCCAGCAACGCTTAAAAACTCTTGGTCTTCCTTCTTTTAAGGTATTAGGAAAAAATGAAAGGACCCAGAAAAAGGAAGAAAGAAATTGCTTAAGAAAAAAATGAGGTTCTATTGGAAAATTTAAAAGAGAATAAGAAGGGGAGCAAGGGAAAGATCAAAGAGGAAAAGGAAGTATTGAGATGAAGAAAAGAGAGGAACAAAGAGTGGATATTGGGCACCTTGAAAAGAAATGGTGGGAGGTGCTTAAAAAACAAAACTGACTTCACTGAGCACAGAAGAGAAAGCGGTGCCGACCAAAAGGCAAAAGAAAAAAGCACAAAATGAAAGAGCTGCCGGGAAAGGGAAGACGAAAGGGGTGCTCAAAGTGGGGTGGGGACTCCTTCCAGCACTTGTCCTTCCTTAGCCAGGGAAGAGTGTGACCTGAAGAGGAAAGGGGAGGGCACGAGAGGAGTGGCACACGGGCACATCCAAGACCCAGTGCTGCTATAGAAAGAAGGGGACAAGTGACGTGGGCTAGGGAGGAACTCTCAGACAGGAAACCCCGCCACTCCATTAGGTCCACAGCCTTGCTGCCAACTTCATCCTCAAGAAAAAGGCATCTACTGAACTCTGATCCTGGGAACACAGGTAGGAGAACACGGAGCCCCTGTAAAGAGGAACCAAGACAAACCCTAAAAACAGAGCTGGCTCACCAGGAGCAAAAGCCCCGGGGCACACAAAGCGCCTTTCCTCCTGCCACTCAAAGTCAAGCCTTCTGAAAACATCTGTGGAATAGATGAATGAATCAACCAACCATCAATGGAGCTCGTGCTCTCACTTGTGCATTTTGGGCTCCCAGTAATGTGGACTGTTCCCCAGCACCTGAGCCTAGCCATTGTGGAACTCCCCTTTCCTCCTTGGGCTCTGGCAGCAAAGAGGACCCAATCCATGGGATCCCTGGTCTCCCTCCAGGAAGTCATCCCAGCCCCATTTTCCATGAGCGAGGGAGAAGGGAGAGAGCTCCACGTTCCAAAGCATTTATGTCTGTAATATACACCTCGTTGTATCTCTGGCAAGTTGAGTGAGGGAATACAGTTATTCTTGATTAAAACCAACATCGAGAAATTTAATGGCCATTTTAGAGACTCCAGAAAATAACAATAGAGGTTGTGGGGTAAAGATGGCTGGAGACTAAGATCTCACAACAACTAATTAAGGGGGTGAGGGGACTACTGTGGTGGAGACCATTTAGCTTCCTTCATTTAGGATGTCTTTTGAAGAAGTGAAAAATGTTAGTT